TCGGGACGAGGAGCTGGCCAAGCTGGAGGTGGCGGTGCTGGCCGTGACCTTGGCCTTGGCCGTGCTGGGCAACGCGCTGGTGCTGCTGGCGCTGCACCGCACCCCGCGCCAGAAGGCGTCCCGCATGCACCTCTTCATCCGGCACCTCAGCCTGGCCGACCTGGCGGTGGCTTTCTTCCAGGTGCTGCCGCAGCTGTGCTGGGAGGTGACGCACCGCTTCCACGGGCCCGACGGGCTTTGCCGCGTGGTGAAGCACCTGCAGGTCTTCGGCATGTTCGCCTCGGCGTACATGCTGGTGGTGATGACGGCCGACCGCTACATCGCCGTGTGCCACCCGCTCAAGACGCTGCAGCAGCCCACCAAGCGCTCGCGGGGCATGATCGCGGCCGCCTGGGCGCTCAGCTTCCTGCTCAGCACGCCGCAGTACTTCATCTTCTCGCTCAGCGAGGTGGAGAGCGGCTCCGAGGTCTACGACTGCTGGGCGCACTTCGTCGGGCCCTGGGGGGCCCGCGCCTACATCACCTGGATCACCGGCAGCATCTTCGTGGCGCCGGTGCTCATCCTGGCCACGTGCTACGGCTTCATCTGCTACCACATCTGGAGCAACGCCCGCGACAAGACGCGGCGGCAGAAGCGGGAGAGGGCTCCGCCGCCAGGGGGCGCCCTCCGCAAGGGGCTCCTGCTCACGCCCTGTGTCAGCAGCGTCAAGAACATCTCCCGCGCCAAAATCCGCACCGTCAAGATGACCTTTGTGATCGTCTCGGCTTACATCGTCTGCTGGGCACCTTTCTTCACCGTCCAAATGCGATCCGTCTGGGACGAGCACGCTGCCTGGATCGGTAGGTACCCCCCGTTCTGCCCCTCTTCTCACACTGGCCCCCTAGGCTTGCTTCGCTGGTGTGAATTTGAAGTGGCTCCGATTTCCAAACGAAAACTACCTCTAACGTGGAACAAGGCGCTGCTCTTGTCCGCAGCGGCATGTGGATGGGGTAGGAGGTCAGGAGATGTCGCCATTTTTGTTGGTTCTCCAATATCCCAAGACTAAATCCATTTATTTTAGATTGCTTATGTGGAAGCACTGGTCGTCCTTGTCGTTTAGTCGTGTCGGACTCTTTGTGACCCCATGGACCAGGACACGCCAGGCCCTCCTATCTTCCACTGCCTCCCAGAGTTGTTTCAAATTCATGTTGGTTGCTTCGCAGACACTGTCTAGCCATCTCATCCTCTGTCGTCCCCTTCTCTTGCGTTCACACTTTCCCAACATCAGGGTCATTTCCAGGGAGTCTTCTCTTCTCATGAGATGGCCAAAGTATTGCAGCCTCAGCTTCAGGATCTGTCCTTCCAGTGAGCACTCTGGGTTGATTTCCTTCAGAATGGATAGGTTTGTTCTCTTTGCAGTCCAGGGGACTCTCAAGAGTCTCCTTCAGCACCACAATTCAAAAGCATCAATACTTTGATCGTCAGCCTTCTTTATGGTCCAGCTCTCACTTCCATACATTGCTACAGAAAAAAATCATAGCTTTGACTATACAGACCTTTGTCGGCAAGGTGATGTCTCTGCTTTTTAAGATGCTGTCTAGGTTTGTCATCGCTTTCCACCCAAGAAGCAGGCGTCTTTTAATTTGATGGCTGCTGTCCCCATCTGCAGTGATCATGGTGCCCAAGAAAGTAAAATCTGTCATTGTCTCCATATCTTCCCCTTCTATTTGCCAGGAGGTGATGGGATCAGTGGCCATGATCTTAGTTTT